TTTATCATTACATGTAATGTTTTTATTCAAGAAAATAATACGAGAGGAAATTTTGAGTAAACTATTCACACAATTTAGAAAAATTGAAAGTTTTTAAAAAATGCGGAACATTTTAAAATAATACTCCTTTTGTATTTACTAATTATTTGACCTGAAATGTTTTGTAACTTTCTTAGGAATGTCTTAAACAAATTTATGAATTGATTTTACAATAACTTAATTAATGTTAGAGAACAAAAATAAAATGTAGATATGCATGCTAAAATTCAACGAAAAAATGCCCAAATCTCCAAAATTAAATTATTTTTTTTTAAAAAGTATTAAGTTTAAACAAACTGGATGCCTAATTTTGTTACATGAATTATACATAAAAAGGCAGGGGAAGAAATTGACGATATTGATTAATATTTATGGAATGAGAAGCATTTTGAATGCGAAAAAAAAACCCAAACTGAGATAAACCACTGTAAAGATTGTAATTCTAAAAAAATATTATTATAAGCTTAAATAACGTAAAATATCACTTTAAAACAACAGCTACATATTTTCGTTATTATTATCACATTTTCAAATTATTTCAAATCATATATTTGATAAACAATCCCTTTTTAGAGAGTATTAATTGCATAAGAAATCTCAAGGAAAAATGTTTAAAAAATATTTCTACAATTGCACAAAATTTTTAAAGTTTTTTTCTCCACATAATATTGAAATATTATATTTTTATGGAAAACATATGATGAATAAAAACTGAAATAATAAAAAAAAATTAAAAAAGCCTTAATGAAAAAATTTCGCATGCACACATTTCTAAAGAAATACAAATTACATTTGTGTAATATTTAAGAAATATCCTGCTTTATTTATAAAAGTATCTCTTTTTTTTAGTTATTATTTCACTTTTTACAATAGCTTTTATAATCTCACTCATTTTTTTTATCTATAAAGGGATGTTTTTTTTTTCAATTGAAGTTTTTCCAACTTCTAATTTTCAGGCATAGAGAAATGATGTATCAAAGAAAAGATAATAATGCAAAGAATATAACTAAATAAAAATAAACAAACCATATTTTGATCATTTTTAGGGTGCCAAGTCCTCTTAAGGGAAATAAAACCTAGCTATTTCAATCCCTCTCTAGATGTTCTTCTAGCTATTATAATTTCATGCTCACATAGGGCTAGTCCTTATATAGTTTTAAATGTTTTAAACATTTAAAATTTATTTACATCTACAATATCATGGCTCCTGTTTGAGTCTCGGACTTGAGATTTGAATCAACTGTTCCACTCGTCGAGACCCATCCAGTTATATACTTGACTCCCATTGTGTAGGCTTTTGGAGGGATTAAGCACTAAAATATCATGTTACCATGTTTCCCCAAGGGGTCTGAAAAAATTTCACTCCCCTAAGAAATTGAGCTTGTGACTTGATTTTTGAGGGTACGCCATATTTTCGTGTAGGCGCAAGCCTTACGTGAAATTCACCCCCTCCAGTGCTCTCCCCCCTTCAGGGCTTCTCCATTAATAACTCGAATCCTATGCTACCTTGGTCGACTGCACCCGCTGGATTTGATTGTTCTCACTATGATCTCTTGAAATATGTAATTTTACCCCATACATTCCTTCCCCCTATTTCACGTTTTTAAACTAGTTTAAAAAATTTTTAAATTCCTCATAGCTCCGAGGAATTTTGACCTGTACGGTTCGGAAGTACAATGACTCGACCTAGCAGTTGTCTCCCCCCCTGGACAGCATTTTGCCAATGCAAATCTTGACTAACTCATTTCATCATTTCACTAAAACAGATCAGGGTGTAATAAAATCACTTACTATCATCATGGAAAGGACATTGAAGAGACGTGGTTTTAGAATATTGGCAAAATGCTGTACGAGGGAGGGGGAAGACACTTGAGAGGTCGAGTCCTTGTATTTGCGAACCATATAACATCCTCGGAGCTATGGGAAATTTAAAGAATTTTAAAATTGTTTAAAAACGTGAAATGGGGGGAAGGAATGTATGGGGTAAAATTACATATTTGAAGAGAACATAGGGAGAACAATCGAATCCAGCTGGTGCGGTCGACCAAGGTAGCATAGAATTCGAGTTATTAATGAGGAAGCCCTGTAGGGGGAAGAACCAGAGGGCGCCCATTCCACGTAAGGCTCGCGCATACACGAAAGTAGGGCGTACCTCCAAAAATCATGTCTCCAGCTCAATTACATAAGATGGGGAAATTTTTTCAGACCCTATAGGATTAACATGAGAACATAATATTTTAGTGCTTAAGCCCTCCCCTTGCTTACACAACGGGAGTCAAGTATATAACTGGATGGGATCAACGAGTGGAGCAGTTGGTTCAAATCTCAAGTCCGAGACTCAAACAGGATTTAAGATATTGTAGATTTAAATACATTTTTAAAGTTTAAAACAATTAAACACTATAGAAGGAATAGCTTTATGAGCAGGAAATCATAATAACTGGAAGAGCAGTTAGAGAGGGATAGAATGGGCTGTGAGGCTCGAGTGTCGAGATATTGGCCAAAAAGCTGTACAGGGTTCAGAATACACCGGGGGGATGTGTTATAGCCGATCCTAACCATAACAAAAGTTATTACGGTCCCCCAAGTAGCTGTCCTCTAGCACAAAAAAGTGGCATTTTTTTTCACTTCATCATTTCACGAAAACAGTTTGGGGATTTAACTAATTCACTTACTTACTCAGAGAAAATACAAAAGAGAATTTATTTTAACATCTTGCGTGAGCTGATAATCTCCTTTAGGGATTTGATGAAATCCCTAATTCATCGTTTCCCTGCGACATATAGGCGGTGACCTTCAGGAGGGAAATCATGATCATGAGATTCTTTTTCCCTTGTCAATCAAAGGGTCACACGTACACGCAAGTCATTCCTCTCGCTCTCCTCTCTCACCAACGACTCAGTTAATTGCTGTATTTCATACTTTGCAGGTTTCTCATTCGGCATTCTATAGAATGCCTAGGCAATGTATGAAATAAAAATCATGTCATACATTGCCGGCTAGTTTTAGGCATTCTATAGATACTATATCGGATTTCATACTTTGCTGGTAACATATATATATATACAGAGAGAGAGAGAGAGAACTAATTGTGCGGGAATTGAAAAATGAAACAAGAAATGTGTAAAATAATAATGAAAAAAATCAGAGATAGTCGCATACATAAACAAACTCTTAAGATCGTAGTTAACACAAGAAGGTTTCAGCAATGTTCCACCTTTTAACGTTCAATGCACGACTTCTGTTATCTGCATATATTATTGATCAGGAATAAAATTTCGAAGATAGATATATCAATAATTCATTTAAATTTTTAATAAATACAAACCTACGAAAATTAATGTGTAATAAATCTGTTGTTGTTGCCAATTCCATCTGTCTGACTGTGTCAGATCAAGGTCCATGTGGTTCAATGCCTTAAAAGGCTAGATGTACTCTTGTTGTTAACTGTATCTTTGAGCACCATACAGATGACAATGCATTTTGGCTCGGATCCCCACCAATTTTGAGGAATGCACCCTGGGATTTGTCGGAGGCTTCTCACCTCTCTTCCCCTTACACCAACCACACGAGAGGACTTAAGGCTCTACGGTTATTTCGAGTATTCCCATGCTACAAAGAGACAGCACATTCTCAAATGTCCATGCTTTCCCAGGAATTTAAAACAGGACCAAACAGTACAGCAGGCAGCTATTTCGCAAATTATATCTAGCTAACGTACAACTTAATGATATAAGAAAAATTCAATAAATTAATCATATGCTAAGCAGTATCTTGTATTTTTTTAAATATTATTAGCTTTATAAATAAGAATAGCATTCTAGTTAACTATATATACCGAATACTTATATATATTTACAAACTGAAGTCTCAAAAAAACTGGTACACCTGCCTTTACGTGTACGGCCCCCACGAGCACGCAGAACTGCCGCAACACGACGTGGCATGGATTCAATAAATGTCTGAAGTAGTACTGGAAGTAATTGGCATAATAATTCCTTTAGGGTAGTCCATAAATCAGCAGGTGTAAGAGAGGGCGGAGATCACTTCTGAACAGCACGTTGCAAGGCATTCCAGATATATTCAATAATGTTTATGTCTGGGGATTTTTGTGCCAGCGGAAGTGTCTAAATTCAGAAGAGGGCTCCTGGAGCCTTTCTGTAGCGATTCTGGATATGTGGGGTGCCGCATTGTCCATCTGAATTTCTCAAAGTCCGTCAGAATACACAGTGGACATGAATGGCTGCAGGTGACAGATACGTAAGCCTCCTGTCAGAGTCGTATCTAGACGTATCAGGGGATCCACATCACGCTATCTGAACACGCCCCATACCATCTCAGAGCCTCCACTAGCTTGAACAGTCCCCTGTTGACATGTAGGGTCCATGGATTCATGAGGTTGTCTCCATACCCATACACGTCCATCAGCTCGAGTCAATTGGAAACGAGATTCGCAAGACCAAGCAATGTGTTTCCAATCATCAACAGTCCAATGTCAGTGTTGACGGGCCCAGGCGAGGCTTAAAGCTTAGATTCAAGCGGTCAAAAAGGATACTCAAGTAGGCATTTGGCTACGAAAGCCCATATCGATGATGTTCCGTTCAATGGTCCGCACAGTGACATTTCTTGATGTCCCAGCATTAAAATCTGTAGTAATTTGTGGAAAGGTTGCACGTCTGTCGTACTTAATGATTTTCGTCAGTAGTTGGTCCCGTTTTTGTATGATCTTTTTCCGGCCCCCAGCGATATCGTAGACTTGATATTCACGGTATACTCGTGAAATGGTCGTATGTGAAAATCGAAATTTCATTGCTATTTCCGTGATGCTATATTCCATCTCTCGTGCACCGATTAAAACACCCCGTTCAAACTCACTTAAATCTTGATAACTCACCATTGTAGCAGCAGTAATCTATTTAACAAATGTGCCAGGCCCCCGTCGTCTTACATAGACTTTCTGAGCCTCCGTGATGCAATCGGCCAGCGCGTTCGGCTGTTAACCGAAAGGTTGATGGTTCAAGCCCACCCGGGGGCGAATGTGTTTCCAATGGGTGACTCTTCACACCGAGGGATAATTTTGACGAAGCGGGTTCTTCGCGTCGCTCGCGTTTTTCTCCCTCTCCATTCTGGATTTTCAAGCCAACCGCGCTAGCTTGGTCTCCGGGCTATCCGGCGTTCAACACAGTTATTTTTTCCACCACATACACAAGCTCACAAAAAATAATTAAAAGTAATCTCACTCAATTTCAACACCATTTTTCACACTCTAATGCTTCTTAAATTTTCACGTAGTTTTATTATCATCATGTAAATTATTAATTTTAACTTTTAATTTCATTTCCAACTATAATTATTTTAAAGCAGCAAATGGCTAAGATAAAGCCGAACCAATGTTCCCTCTCTTTTTTCCATGACAGAAATTTAAGCTTCCCTGCGGGAAGCAGGCACTCCATCAACCAACACACATAGGCTTTGCCGACCGCAGCGCCGTACTCTAATTGGTTCCATATATCTTTATTCACATACACATGCCTGTATCAGTTTTTTTAGTTCTTCAGTGTACAAGCACGCACACACACATATATATATATATATATATATATATATATATTAGTATTTATTTAATTCCTAAGAAAAAAAGAAATATGCATCTCAAAATTATTAAATTAACGTAATTGAAAGTGTGGAAATACAAGAAATAAATGTATTTACAATAGCCTAAAGAACCATTACGCTTATATCAAAACTATTTTAAAAATTCAGGTAAGTTACATAATTAAATATTTAAGTAATAAACATATTAAATTTCTCCCTCTCTCTCTCTCTCTCTCTCATAAGCAAAGGTGAAATTTTAAAAATAATTGTGTAAATATATTTTTCAATCACTGTTACATTCAAAGTGATTATATCTAGTATATCCTAATAGTATTTTAAGATAAAAAGTTTTTGTTTTCCCCATTTCAAACATTCCAGGATGGAAAAAGAATAACTATCTCTTATATATATATATATATATATATATATATATATAGTAGCATTTTGAATGCACTGATGTATTAAAGAAATACAGACTGAGAAAAACCACTTTAAAGTTTATAACTCTGAAAAAAAATTATAAGCTTAAATAAATTTAAAATACCTCTTTAACACATGAATTGCATACTTTCTTTAAAAGAATTATACTTCCGTTTTTTTCAACCCATACATTTTTATAAATGGTCAATTTTTAAGAGAGCATTAATTCCACAAGAAAATTCAAGAAAAATGTTAAAAAAAATTTCTGTCATGACAGGAATTTTAGTTTTTTTCGTCATATAATTGAAGTATTATATTTGTATGAAAAATATATGGAGAATAAAGATTGAAATAATGAAATTATATATATATATATATATATATATATATATTTGTATAAAATGTCTTAATTCAAAAGATTTACTTCCACACATTTCACAGATAAAAAAATTACATAATTGTAATGCCTCGATAATATCCTGCTTTAGACATCACCAGTTCTTTTGTGTAGTTATCCTTTTAAAATAGATTTTTTTCATCAAAACACTTTTTAGCATAAGATTCTAAGCAGGGTGCGTCGTTCAATTGCCTAATTTTTTAATTTGCATTTATCAAATGAAGTTTTATCCGACTTCTAGCTTTCGTAAATGCAAAAGTGATATATCAATCGAAAGACAATTTAGCGAAAAAAAAGATGATTAAATAAATAAAAAGAAAAAAAAAACGATTGATCGGTCATTTTAGGGGACCGAGTATTCTTAAGAAGAGAAGAAGAATTTTGTGAAGAAGAAATTTTGTTCTCCGTGATAAATTTTCAAAAAAAGTTTGTGTAACTTTACAAAGAGTGTTGCATATGTGTTAGCAAAATAATTTATAAAATCCTGCTTGTTATTTTTATTTAAAACAGTGCTTCTTCATCAAATAATATTTTAATCGCTATAGAAGCATGAATATTTACATTACGTCACAATTTTTTTTATTATTTTGAATATTCGAAGGATTTTAAATTATATTTCCTCTTCTTGGGCTATTTAATTGCGTGTATTAAAAATTTTTATCAGAAAAATATAACAATTTCTCAATAAGAATGAATTTGGTTCAAAATGGTTTTTTACGTATTTTTTAAATATTTCTTGTTAGATAGTATGTTAGAAATAATTTGGTAATATAAACTACAGGGCATAAAAGTATTTTTGATGAAATATCAAAGCAGCAATTTTACTGTATAGTCAACAAATTTGGTCATAATTTGAATTCTAGATGAGTGAGATATAAAGACATAAAATTATACCATTTTTATAGTACACAAAATAATACACGAATGACTGGGTGAGTCATTCGTGTGTTTAAAGTCAAAAGAAAAACTTTACTATCAAATGATTAATAATGTACAGTCTATATATATATATATATATATATATATATATATATATATATATATATATACTTATTTTCTACATATTTATAAAATAGTTTTCCTTTCATTCTTTCAAGAAAAAATACAACTTTATTTTCAAATAAAAAACCTAAAAATACGGGAACAAATATTTAAAAAAAAATAAGCGATTATAAACTAACTATATGTATTATATAAAAAAATAAACATAAAGTACAAGAACAAAACATCCAAAAAATTAGAATGATATTTAAAAAAAATGGAATAATCCCAAAAAATCCTCTTCAATCAAAAACTTCACAAAGTTAAAAATATTATGAAAAATATTCAAATTATACTAGAAAGTAGTTTCTGTTGTGAAAAAATATTGAAGTTGAAAGTAAGCTAATTAAGTACATAAGCCTCGTAATTAATAATGCAGTGTTAGAATCTTGAGCACTTAGTCCCTTTGCGCACAAAAAAGCCATTTATTATAAAAAGTATTTTCCAACAAAAACATGCGTTCCAGAACTTAGCCTCTCTTGAAGTAATTAAAATGTCCACTTTAAGTAAACTGAGATAGTCAACAAGCTAAACAAGAGCGGCGAAAGTTTTTATCAGAGAAATTTAAACTTTTATTATTTTTAAAGTTAAACATTTTGTACTTTTTAATTTTAACAAAAAATCCTTTTCCAATATAAAACATTTCAAAACGCAATGGAAACATTTTTTATAAAACAATTATACTAGCGTTTTTTTTTATTCTTTTGATAAACCTTTCAGAAATCAAGGTCATCATTCAATTGATGCCACTGCATGCATAATTTATTAATTGGCTATTAAATAGTTAATTTTATGCAGTGTTAGATGTATTATATTCATGTGTTATGTGTTACATGTGTTGTATTCGTGTTTATAATTACAGTACAGTCCCGCTAATCCGAACACGGCTAATCCGAACATCCGGTTAATCCGAACGGCTCCACGGAAAATTTTTTATAATTTTAAGGACGAAAATCGGTGAATATTTCAATATAAAACAGTGTAAACCTTAATTCAAAACAGTTCTTTATTTAATATTCACGCACTGTACATCAAGTTATGGTACAAATTTTAAAATGGAATAAACTACAGAACAGAACACTAATGTTTAGTATGAAAAATTGTACAACAGAAGATTAAATATAAAATATGTACAGTATTTTTTTCTGACGCAACGAAGACAGTCTTTTCGATGATGCGTAATTTCGCCAGCGCCTCATAAATAAAACATCAGCTGGTGTAGTGTCGGGCTGTTGCTCCAAGTAGCGCAGGGCAAGGGCAGCTGCGCCGTCTGCATGTGGCACCACTTCCTTCTTATCGCATTGCGTTTCGTCGTCACTCCCCTCCTCCTCCATTGGCTCTTGAGTCACTGCCTCAGCTATGTCGTCATCAGTCAGAAATTCGGCTGTTCCCCCGTCTTCTTCCATCCATTCATTGATGTCTCCAGCAGATGCTTTGCCAACATTAAACTCTGTAGCCAATTTTTTGTCACACCTTCACCTTTATCTAAACGCTTTAGAACCTCTAGTTTGTCTTTAAGAATAAGTGCTGAGAGTTTACGCTTACTCGCCATAACAATCTGTTTACGTACACTGTATCACAGATAAATGTCCAAAACACACACAACAAACTGTTTTTACTGTAGAATATCACACTGTAACACTGTTATTAACCCAGAGACAAAAGCGGACGAGTATAGAACGAGCGCGGAACGACTGACGGCCAACAGTACGGACACACGCACACGCAGTCACACTGACACACTAAGTTAGGAGCGGTGGAGGGAGGACACACGCGTCGTGGAGTGAGAGTACAGTCCACGCGGCAAAAAAGCGGGCGCGTACGCTCGCATTACGACAAAATACATAGACACAATAGACCCGTACTCCCGGTTCAAATAGTGATTTCGCTGTTACTCCGGCTAATCCGAACAATCACGTAATCCGAACAGGGATCGGTCCGATATTGTTCGGATTATCGGGACTGTACTGTATATTCATGTTTCATATGCATGCATTATAAGCAAGAGTTTTATCTATGTGTTACATTTGCTGTATTCATATGGTATGCTTATGTGTCACATGTGTTGTATTCATGTGTTAGACTTGCGTGTTACATGTGTTGCATGCATGTGTTATACGTATGCATTACATGTGTTAATATCATGTGTTATATGTGTTAATACCATGAGTTATATGTGTTATATTTACAAATGTTATATGCATTCATAAGCAAATACAACACTTTAAGTTAAATGATATACAACTTTCAAATATTAGGTTGAACGATAAGTCAATTTCCTTTGACAGAAATGTGCAGGAAAACAACATGGTATCCTTGCACAATTTATGGAATATAAAGAAGGATTAAAAAGTTCCCAGACATAGCCTATAACTTAAAAAAATATTACCAATTAAATAGCTGATACACATCCTATTTCGAAATATGACCCTTGACAACAACACACTTTTGCTATCGCTTGTAAAAGGTCATGGGAACATTTCTGGAATCCATTTTCAGCCATGTCCTTTAATTCAGCCTGTTATGCACTTTTAACTTCATCTACAGACTGAAATCGATGAATCTGCAATCGAAGTGTCAGT